TTTTTTTTTTTTTTTTTTTTTTTTTTTTTTTTTTTTTTTTTTTTTCATTTTATCTGATTTTTCAAAATGTTAACTGAACAGATGAATCATCTTGACTTAATATCCAGAGTGCATTCAGTTGAACTAATAAATTCTGCTAATATTCTTAAAGCTTCTTCAGTTCAGAACTTCAGTGTTGTCTAGGTATTACATTTAAGAGATGTGAAGTTTGATTGCTGCAGAATCCAAGCAAAGTTTTACGTATATGTATACGTATATAAAAATGTCAGAAAGCACCCACCCTGACTATACCTACTATCCCACTTGGTACATTCTCTGGACTTGATGCGCAATCATAGACACCAACCTGGACACCACCCAGCCACTTGTTCTCCAAGTCAATCAAGACTCCATCATTCTTGTACCTATACCCGAGGCCTACTATGCTGACGACGTACTCCAGAGAACTTCAGACTTGGTGATTGTCACTCAAATGATGAAGGACTTTCCTAAGGATCTATGTGATCTGCTGTCAGAAGAAATGCAGAATTAGGCTAAACTATACTCAGAGAGAACTCTGATCAGCACTCCTCAACTTGCTTAAACACATCTTTCACTCGACTCTGTCGGTTGTCCATGTATGGAGATGCATTCTTATATACTCTGAGCAGTTCTGATGACCTGTATTACGAGATCAGATCTTTATCGCTTGGTGCTCAGAATCCCCACCAATGAGTAAATGCTGATGTGCTTGATAACGTCTGAGGCATCATTTACCATTTTAACTCTAAGACTAAATCCTATTCGGAGCAGCCAAGAAGTGGATTTGAGAGAGGCGCTTCAAGCCAGGTTTTCCTTTTCAATGAATTCTGTTCTATATCCTGAGATGACTACCAACAGCCCATAACTATAATGACAAACACAATAACCATCAATCATGTAACTACTGATTTTCAGGTGTAGTTCTTCTTGGAGTCACGATTTAACACCCCAACTTGAATGTGTTTGCAGATCGTCAGTATATTTTTTTGTTTTGTTTTGTTTTATGCAGCGTTCATTGGTTTTCTGTTGTTGGTGTTGTATTTTTTGCTTTTCTTCCCTGACTACGTTCATTACAAATCATGTTTTTGGTGTCCTGCTGAACTGCTTGATTTTATCTGGATATTGAAAAGGTTAACTGACTTGATTTAATGTACAGAGTGCATTAGTTAACTAACAAATTCTGACAATATTTAAATTGGATTAATTTTTGATAAATCTTCAGTTCAGATCGTCAATGTTTCCTGGGTATAATGTTTATAATGAACATTTTAATTTTTATGTAATGGTCAAAAGTCATTAAAGAAATTCGTAAAATTTAAGCAAGCACCCATTCAAAATATGCATGGCGAGCTACTGTTATGACCCTTGACACATTGTGTTTGATTTTTTTTTTTTTTAAACCTACTACTCACAATGTTCATCTGCACAATGTACTCGTTTCATTACTGGCATTACTAGATTGTCGTAGGAAAGAAATAAAAACTCAAGCAGAAAGAAAAGCCTGTCAATGACTGGTTTTATTGTGTCGTGTGAAACTTATCTAGAATTTCATCTAGATGCTTAGCGGTGATGTCAAAATGTTTAAAATGATGTAGCTGTTTGTAGGGAAAATTAGTGTAGTGGAAGATAACCCCAGGCCATACTAATGAAATAGACCAAATTACACATGAAAAACTGCTTTATGACACCTACAAACCAGAGAATCATCAACTTTGACCAGGTTTTGTAGAAAACATTTGTATTTTTGACACATACTTGACCTCATACATAAGTGTAATTTAGAAATAAACAGCAATTTAAGAGCTCAGAAGAAAGTCTGATTGTTGCATGTCCAAAACCACATGCTGTTCGCTATATTGTGCACTAATTAGGGAGTTTTGCCATTTTATAAATGTCGAAATTAAGAAACACACTCCTGCAATCACACAATCCACTGCAGCAGGTTAGAATTCAAACCATAACCTGTGCATTACAGCTAGATATAGAGTCAATGGTCCAAACAATGGTCTTAAGCAATACCACCCTCTCTTAATCTACAGTTTCATACACAGTAATGGTCTGAGGCATGCTGTGAGTTTCGACTTGAGTTGTTTTGTGATGTTCTGGTTTCATTCCGTCAACAATGGGCAACAATGGGCAACCTAAATGGTGCCCTACTCCCTATGCCCATTAAAAGGCAAAGTGGATTTTGGGTAGCAGCTAAGCAGCATCATGCAGTCACATCAGATGGGTTTTACTGTCATTCCTCCATATCATTAGTATGCAGTGGAATGAATTGTTTCTTCAGGACTATGGTGCAATACACAATACAGCAGCATGGTATGCTGGGTGGCATAAAGTGCAAATACACCACAGTGTGAGACGTGTGCACAAATATACAATAAGTACACAGGACAGTGCATGACAACAAAAAAGTACTGTATGGAAGAAACCACTGCAAAGAGTTGACTGTAACCTGGTGACTGTATCATGCAACTGGTTGGTGAAAATGTGTAGAGGCTGTGCAGTGATGGATCCTGATTAAATAGCATATTGCATTGCATCGTGGGACTTTAGATGGGCACTGGATAAGCTCCAGTATGCTACCAGACAGAGGGTACACAATGATTTAAACACACACACACACACACACACACACACACACACATCAGGATCTATGGAAATAAAAAGATATGAATTTTTTTAATCATGTGCTCACTCTTCCAGGATACCAACTCCATTTAGTTGACTCTGCACCAGCCAATAATAAAATAAGTCCAGGTATGACTTAAGGGAAAAAAAATATATAGGGCTCTGTGGTGCAATGGATAACGCATTGGGCTTCCAAGTTCAGGTTTGCTACCATTCCAAGGTTGTGGGTTCAAGTACCACCAGAGTTGTAGGTTTTGTGGTGCAGGTGGGAAAAAGAAAAAACCTGCCGCAATAGCCAATTGCACTGGTAAAATAATACAGAAGAACTTCTCAGATGGATGACTAGATAGATGAAAATAAATGAGATAAAAATAAAAAGACAGACAGACACATAATAAATAAAAAGATAGATAGATTATAAAAAAGACTGACAAACAGACACACAATAAATAAAAAGAAACAGACAGATAGATAGATAGATGAGCCCATGAAGGTAAACCTGTGATTTGCAGCTGCACTACTGTCAGAGCTGCTGTTAATCTTCTGACCAATCAGATTGAAGATTTCACAGCTATTATATTCCTACAGTAAATATTTAATACTCTACACAGTGTATCAGACCATATGCAGGTTTATACAGGAACTGAAATCACCGACTAAAACATTATAAACATTCATAATGACATACTCTTCATGTTTTGTGCAGTTACAGTGTGACTTTTACTCCTTAATTCTGTTACTAAAAAGGTTACATTTTTATAAAATAAAAAACTGAGTGTATGTGTTTTATGCTTCTTAATTCAAACCCAATTTCTGTAACATGAATGCAGAACATGCAGCTAGCCACTGACACTTTCTTCTCCTCACTTTCCTCATCCATGGACCTCCTCTGTCCTCTATCCTCTAAACCCAGGAAGATTTCCAGCCCTGCTCCTTGGCTATCAGATGTGTTACGCAGTAATCGGAGAGGATTAAGAACAGCAGAGAGGAAGTGGAAGAAATTGCAACTCGACACAGATCTTGTCTCTTACCGTGCTCTCCTGTCCAAATTTTCATCTGAAGTGACTTCTGCTAAGATTGCCTTCTACAAAGAAAAGCTGGAATCCTCTGCACAAGATCCTCGCAAGCTCCACAACATCTTTTCTTCACTACTCAACCCACCAGCTCCTCCTGCTCCATCCTCCCTGACTGCTGAAGACTTTGCCACTTTTTATGATGAGAAGATTGGAATAATCTGCCAGACATTCACTTCCACTCCAGAGCAGAAGGGGCGGAGCTTCTCTCAGTTCTCTGGAATGAAGGTGAAAGTGAAAGTAGCTCTCGACTCGGAAACAGAGCAACTGCGCCATTAAACTTCCTGCTGTAACGGACTGAAACAGGAGGAATATATGTGTGTGTAGACAGAGGACATTTTTAAACACGGTGTTTAAACTGTAATGAGGTAAATAGTGAATATGAGCCGCTCTGAAATGTGGACACACTTCAGCTAAAGCAGCAGATATGTTTATATGAGGAACAGAAAAGGTAAGAGGAGTTAGCATCATGCTAAAGTACATGTGAGTCACCAACGACTCAATAAGCTGTTAAACTAATCCTCCAGAATACACTGTGGAATTGTGCTTTCTAACCATGTATTTGTGTGAGTTCAGTTGTTTAAAAGGATGACTCTCTCTTTCTGTGTGTGTTTAGGATTTTATTAGTTTGAATCTACAGAAAGAGATAAAGATGGCGACTGCAAGCAGTAAGTTACATTTCCAGAGATACAGTTATCTGTATTATTTATTGCAGAGTAAACTAATTGTGTGTGTGTGTGTGTGTGTGTGTGTGTTTCCTACACAGATGAGTTTAAACTCATTGGTCCCAGTGGTAGAGAGCGGTATTATCCCTCTGCTGTCACTCTCTCATGTCGTCTGTCTCCTGAAATCAGTGCTGTTAACATGGAGATCCGGTGGTTTAAGGAGACAGACTGTGTTTGTGTCTATAAGAACAGACAGGTGACAGAGGGGAGAGGTTACGAGGGCAGAGTGAGTCTGTTCACTCAGGAGCTGGAGAGAGGAAACGTCTCCTTACAGCTGAGAAACTGTGAATGGTCAGATAGAGGACATTACCTGTGTCAGGTCACTGATGGAGACAGAACAGAGGAGATTACAGTAGAGATGGAAGGTAAGTGTTCCTGACCTCCACACTGCATAAACTCCACATCATCATCTGTGCTTCTCATCTCAGTACATGAAACACACACACTCAGTATTCAGTATGAGGTTCAGTATACAGGCTGCTAATGTGGAGTGAAGTTCATTTTAGTTGAATAAACAGTAACTGTGTTTTTCACTCTGCTCCACACCTGCACAAGGGCCTAAAAGCAGCAGCTTGTACAAACATGAAATAAATAGTGATTAATAATTTATTTAATTTTATTTATCTACTAATCAGAGCTTGGCTCAATGTCAGTTGAAACTGAAACAATCAGAGACATTTTTACATCAGAGAGGAAATTAAATTACACACTAAATGTGGCCTTTAGATTGTTACAGTCAGGGGCGTCGCTAGACCCTTTTTACTGAGGCACGAGCCCCAGTAAAATTTTCCTGATAAATTATTGTCTGATGAGGTAGATTACAGTAGACAGGTCTGAAAATAGGCTTTTCTATTCATTGAACGTTATCATTTAAAACGTGAAGGCTGATTGTAACGCCAGCTGAAGCGAAAAAATCCTGCGCATCCTCTTCAATCATACGCCCCGCCCCCTCGCTGTGCTCCTCCTCCCTTCACTTTTCCCTGTGGAAACCTCCACTTGCAGTCAGACGATAATTCATAATCGACATTGTAGCTGAGGAGAGCTAACTACCTGGCTAACGCTTATCGCTGTGTTAATGAGTGCTATGTGAATTTGTATTTAGTTGAATGAGGACATCCCAGTGTTGTACCGAAATCTGACTCCCCGGACAAATCATACTCCCCTTCGCGTGCATCACGCAGTTGCCACGCGGTGCAGTGAGTTTGAACGTTCCTCTGTTTACCATAGCTGTTCATCGATCAATTTTCACACAGCTAGCACCAAGAACGTACATGGAAGCGTGGTCTAAACTTAAATTAATAAGCAGAAGTTGAATTAGTTTGGATAAAGGATGCAAAAAACATTGCAGAGTCATTCAACTTGGAAAGTGCAGAGGCTTCGACAGCATTAGGAATAAATCTGCAGTTGTCAAAGCAAAACTGTTCATTTCACATTGACATGAATGTCCTGCTGCCTGAACTTCACACCCAAGACATTTGTGCTGTTGACATTTCTTATTAGTTCACGCGGTGTTTCGTAGTAAAGTACTGTATCACTCTTCCCATTGCACTGGCATATGAATGTCATTAAAATACTAATATTTAATCACATAGAATCATAATCTTAAACCATTTTTTTCATGAAAGTAGGCTTTATATAGCGCTTATCACACAGTATATATTCCCTTACATTGTCTAATATACAAGGCAATTAAATGTTTGCAGTGTAACAACAGGCCTGTAGATGGCAAACTCCCACATTTATGAAAGCTGTATGATAGTTATATGCCAATGTTTCATTACATCTGAAAAAACAGAAATAAACCAAATTATTAGTCACATCAGTGATGATTAACCCTTAAAAAGACAAGGATGTAAAGAAACCTCAGTTTTCATCACTATTTTCCAACATGTAGCTAATGAAACTACAATTGAAATAACAGGAACAATTGCTTTGAGGTCAGCTGTTGCTTTTTTTTTTTTTTTTTTAACTTCTGCCATGTTACTTAAAGAGATAAAGATTGATGAGTTCATTCCAGGGTTTAATACAAAGCCACATGACTTCAGTATGTGCCTATTCAATTAGTTTTTGACAGACACACCACATTTATGCTGCTAACACATCTTTTTATTGGGGTTGTGTCCTCAAAAGCATTGGACTGTAGCTTCAATAGGATGGGTTTACCGGGGGGAGTATAATTTGCACAATGTTAACATTACACCTGTTGAAATTATTCTCTCCTCCCCAACACAGGTGGCATTTTCCCCAAGCCCTCGTTAATTTCTGACCCTGTATCAGATGTATTTAATATTTTCTTTAAAAATCATATGACAGCTGGGGGGCTTCTTGGGGTAAGGTTGCCATTTTTATAAAGTTACATTTCATATTTCCATTTTGTGAATATACATCATATGTAGAAAATTATTTTCTTTTTTGTAGAAAGGTATGTGTCATTTAGGCTTCAAGCAGGCTTATTGAACTAATGAAATGATCTGCAGCACATGCTTACATTAATATTTGTTACATGATATGATTAAAGAAAATAATGAATGCTTTGGTGCTGTTTTTATGAAAAATTTCTTCCGGGGGGACCGGACCCCCCGAGAAATATTTAAGTATTTTTGTACAGTTTTTGGGAGGCCTGTGCCCCAGTAGTGATCAAACTCTAGAAACACCCCTGGTTCCAGTTACTGGATATCCAGCAGAACAGACTAGATCACTGCTAAATATAGCACTGAGAACCAAAACAACACACATTTAGGTTAAATTTAAAGAAACACAACACAGTTTGGCTGATGATTGAGAATTTTTGGTGTAAGTATATCTGACTAGTGGCTACCGCTCGTAGTGTTGGACTTTTTCACCAACAGCCTTCTTCCAAAACCAGCACAGTAAGGTGCAAATCTGGAGAACACAAACTGCATTGTCTTTGGAACTGTGTTGTGCTGAAATGATCAACCAAACAGCCGACAACTTGAAATGAGAAGCTGCTGCTCAAGTGAAAGACTCACACTACACTATAGACACTCATCTTTCATTAGCCGTGTTTACACACAAAGATTTTACCAGTCTGAATGAATTTAGTCAGACTGCAGATTCCTAATGAACTATTTATATGTGTCCTGAAATGGCCAATTTTCATTTATATGCATGTTACATGTGATCTGATCCAAAGTTATCTTCATGCTGGGAGGGCAGTATAGTGTTAACATTACCACAACAACAAGGAGCACGTGAGTGCAAAACCCTAGTGTGATTTTTAAATAGACAGAGTTTGTGACCACAGTAAAGTTTCTCAACACTCCATATTTCCCAACATTCAGGAGCACAGATAAATATATTGCTGAAAATAACATAAAGGTTTTATTAAAGCTTTTCCTTCTGATTTCACCGTGTGTATGTTCTGCATCTTCACTGAATATCTGACAAATTTCAAATGCTGAACAGAAATTATTGAGGTCAGTTCCTGTC